TCTCTCTCTCTCTCTCTCTCTCTCTCTCTCTCTCTTCCTCGGTCTCGCGGGGAGGGGCCGTTTCAGGTAGCGACACGACGCGAAGGGGGAAGGTAGGTCGTAGGTCGCGGAGAGAGGCCGGAGGGAAGGAAAAGCTCGTAATAAGCGGCTGTGAATATTCGTCTGTCGTGAAAGTCGGTCCCGTCTTGGCCATAACTCGAGGATCCGTAGGGAGACGCGCGCGTTTCCCGTATTTTTCCCGAGCAAAGGGGGGGGGGGAAGAAGAGAGGAGGAAGGGAAAGAGAGAAAGTTTTCTATAAATCATTTCTCGCCGTAATAAGCACGGGAATGCTCGTTTAGCCGTTCACTTTTATTTATACGGTCGGGGATAAATTGTCCGCTACTTTTAATTCGAAATCCCTTTAATTTAATACTCGCCGACTTATTCCTCTCGATGCTTCCGCGAGTTTTTCTTCGAATCGAATTTCTCCCCTCCACCCTCTTTGTTCGAGAATTTTCGGGGGCGAACCGCGTCGAATGAAATCTCGCGAAAAGGCGAGAATGCGCGAGAGAATAGAGAAGATCGACCTCGCTGCAACCGTCCTTCGTTCCCCGCTAATCCAGGGAATGATCGTTACAATTAACTCGACGTGTTATTCTTTCATAAGATCTTCCCGCTCTGTTTTCGTTGGTTGTGGTAGCGCTTTCGAATAGCTCGCCACGATATTTCGTATAGCTCGTTCCATTCGCTTTTATTCCAGCTTTTTCTAATTCCATTTTTCTCCCATCTCTGCCCACCTCCTTCTAATTTAATAAATATCCTTCCTCCGTCCTCCAAGATGATAGAGAAGATAGAACGCGATGAGCACGTAGCTGGACTCAAAGAAAGCACGAGCATTCGCGCCGGATTGGATTACATCCAATCAAGTGTTGCGGAACCGTGTTGAGTAACAACGGGATATAAAACCCTTTCGGAGAAGCAAACGGGCTCGAGTCAAAGGCACGAGACGAGAAATCGTTCTGAAAACTGAATAACTCTAAATATAATCTACTAATTGAATCCCGGACGTGAAAAAAATCCAATCTTCTAATTGCTAAGCGGGGAAGAGGAGGGGCCAATTAAATTTAATTCGACTCGCGACTTTCGCCTCGATATTCTAAAATTTCTTACACGCGGAGAAACGTTCCGCGTTGGAGAGAAATTGAAAAGGAAAGGAGGTGGGTCGGGAGATTAGATCGAGCCGGTTACGGCGCTACGAAAAATTATTACCGGCGTATAAACCAACAGTTTACCTTTTGGAAAAGACCGGGCGGGGACCTCGCCTCATTAAACTTTCAAGTGACGAAGTGAGGAAAGCTGTCGTTAACGGAACGATCTCCAATTTCTGGAGCCGTTCTACCATTTGCCCAGAGAGCGACCCGCTACGACGGCGGCCATGCTTTTCTTTAATTGCCAACCGCACGCTACTAGACATCCTCCCCCTCGTCGTAAAAGTTACCCGTAAACGATTCGTCTCGAGGAGGGAGGGAAACTTTATGACAAATATTACCGTTGACAATTGATGAATCCACGAATCTCTCTCGACGTGGAAAATTAGGGGATGCGCGAAGGGGGAGGGGGCGATAACATCTTATCCACACCCACGCGGATCTAATTAACCCGTCGAACGAGGTTTTCGAACAAGCCGAGCGCGAATCCAAGCCGCTTGATAAATGAAAATAACCGTTAAATCGTACGAACGATATTATTTTATCGAGTTATGAAAATCAACCGAATAGTTCGTTGGTATGAAAAATTCGATGGAATATCTATCGTGTCAAACTTTATTTTAATCATTCTTGATAAAACTGTCGGATAAAACGTCGAAAGTCTGATTAACAGAATTACGATTCCGATTATATTCTCTGCAACGGGACAATAATAATCCGATTAATCGAATCCAATATCCTGTCTCATATTTGTTACATTTTTGACAATTTGTAATTGACATTACAACCTTGTTTCGATTACTTTTATTCGCGTATTAAAAAAAGATCGAGCGAATTCTTATTTCATACACGCTGCATATTCGCGGACCTCGACTTCTCTTCGATTCAGACACAAATTGTTGACACAAATGGAGGAGGCATAGAACGTTTCCGACCGCAGATGCGCCATCGGTTACACCCTCCCCGCCGCGGTCCAATATACTTTCTGCCGTGTATCGAAAACGCAAACACGCGGTTGTTTCGAGGTTGTTTAACTCGATCGTTTCGGTCGGCCGGCAAACAAAATGGATATCAACAAATAATTGGCGCGATCCGAATTATTATCGATATATTTCCAACGCATTTGCGAAATACGCAACTTGAAAATTCTCGGGCAAATAATACAAATTTCGGCGGAGCGAAGCAAACGGGAAAAAGGAAGGAAAGAAGGCGCGTCCGCCACTCCTTACGCGCGTCACGTTAAAAGCAACGCGCTCCAGCGTGACGGTGCACGACGACGTCCGTCCTCTCCATTATTTCCTCCTCCGACCTTATCTTCCTTCTTATCCGCTTTACGCGCGTACAAGTATAAAACAATAAGCGTGGAGCGAGTCACGATGGAAATTATTACGGGGCCACCGCGTAAATGCGCTCGCCTCGAAAAATATCCCGGGAAAAATATTTCTCTTGCCTCCCTCCTCCTCGTGGAAACGCACACGGTCGCTTGAAAGAAGAGATCTCGAGGTTAGATCGCTCTTTTCGGAGAAAGAGAGCGAAAGAGAAAGGTGGCGAATGAATCGAGAGGCGGAGATAGAAATCCATCGAAAATGGAGCGGAAGTAAAGATTGGAGTAAAGTGGAGCGAGGGTGGAAAGAAACAAAAGTAAATTACCGCAAAGACGAAAGGTATTCCGCTTCTGGTCCTGTGTTCCGCTCTGGGTCCCGTCGAAAACTTTAAATAATTACCGGAGCCGGGATTATCGAGTTGCCGGGTAGAAAAGCCCAAGTTGGTGGGAGGGTGATCGAGAGAAGGGATGGGGGTCGGGTTGGTTTTCGGTGTTTCTCGGCAAACGGCGAGGGAGAGACACAAACGGGAAAGTCTGAAAGGAGAGGAGGAGAAGGAGAAGGTTTCGAACGTTTCTGCAGGCAAGGCGCAGACCTCGAGATACGAGTTAATTATTTAATAAGCTGGAAAATTAATTGTATCGCGTCTTAATTAGTTAGCGTTTCGGGGAAAGCGGAAAGAATCTGTCTCGTTAAGACCCGGAACACGCGCCGCGCACAGTTCCTTTCGAAAACTGGGATCAAAAGTGAAACTTGGCGCTCGAGGAATGTAGCGTTCGCGTGTACGTGTCCGTACTTTTCGAGGAGACTCGTCGAGGAAATTTCGCCCCTTGAAATTTATTCCATTCTTCGTCGAATGCTCGTTTCGAATGGAGGAAGGGAAGTTGGATGGAGGCTGTTGGCGAGAACGTTTCTCGATTTTCGGTGTATTAAAGGAACGTTCCCTTTCCAAAGAAATGAGAGAGAGAGAGAGAGAGAGAGAGAGAGAGAAAAAAGAATTAATTGGTAACAGTTTGTATAGTTCGTGTACGTGGCAACGTTACCGAAGGAAGCCTGGGTTCGACACAGCAGTTCAATACGCCACGTTCCAAACGTGGCACGCGACTTCTACGTTAATGTCAGCTGCGAAATTTACTACGATTCTAAACCCTTTGAGATTGCTGACCCTTTCGCATTTATCCTCCTTCAAGACACGATCGCGATAACTAACGGCGGTTACATTGTACGCGCCGCGAATTGTTCTTAATGCACGGTACCAGCGCGTGACCTTTTTAATTTTTAAATTCGATCCTAACCCACGACCACCCACGCCGCCCCGTTCCTACGATAACCTCGATAACGGTCCTCGACAACGAGGAAGAGAAGAGCGCAACGATGTAAAATCTCCGATAGCCGAGTTGTAGCCGAGTTCAAGGAACGACGATTCCAGGCGTACGATTCCGCGAATGGATTACTTTTCGTACGAAACGCTCGTCTCGTTTCCGATTTTTCGAGAGACGAACGATAGTCGAAACGAGATCGAGAGGAGACGAGAGAAATGGACCTCGAAGATTAATTTTCAAAGATCGTTTGGAGAGCTCGCTCCCCGACTTGGAGAGTTCCCATAAGTGCACCGCAGCGGAGGAGGCCCCACCTCTTCGGTTTCTTATTAGTCCTTCGAGTTGTTCCCCGCAATTCTTCCACGAAGGTAGGAAACAAACAGGACGAGGAGGAGAAGAAAAGACGAAGAGGAAGGGGGATAAGAAATAATCTTACCCTTCAATTTTACGGACCAACGAGTGGACGAGGTGGTCCGTGAAGACGAGACCAAACGACGACCGCCACGATTCTCGTCCCGTTTCCTGCATATTATACTCCGCGGAATCTTTTACGGACGGCCGGAACCAGAGAAAGTTAAAAAGGAAGAAGAAAAAGAGGAAGAAGAAATGGAAGGCAACGATTGCATTCTTACAGACGTTCGACCAATACCTCCTCATCCCCTCGGATGATTATTATACGGTCCATTCTTACCGATCGAAAGACACAACAGTCGATGGGATTAGAGTATCGAGCAAATGGAATACGCGATTTTCGGATGTAATTTCTCTCCCATCCGGTCGCCGAGGCATTTAAAACCGTGCCTCCACTTCTGTTTTTATCGATGCAATTTACCTCGACGATGCTTCCCAGAATGACAAATTCGCTTCTCGATCTTGTTGTTCCTCGGATTTATATTCCAAAGGGATTTTAATTCCTCCCTTTCCTTTCCTTCTTTTTTTATTAAAAGTTTGTAAAAGAAGGATTTTTTGCTCGAAAAAAATGTAATTCTTCGACGATGGAAAATTAAATCTCGAATGAATAGAATAGTTCGAAGAGAAGACGAATTCGATCACGATTCGTAACGCGACGTAAATCTGTCCGGATTCGATTTTTGGAAAGCAAGCATCCACGAGCGACGTAGCCGGTAGGACAACTCTCCTCGTTGTGCACACTCGCCGCCGAATTAATCCGAAACGATTGTACTCGCCCGCATTGTTCCAAGCATCGAATTAATCGCGGCGAATTCAATCCTATCTCGAAGGAAACTTTCAACCCCCTTCTGTGCCTATATCGTGCGTATCGTAGATCCCTAGGACGATCCTTTTATAGAGGCGAGAGCGAATCGTGGAAAGGGAAGGTTCCGTTAAAAGGGGGACCAATGTGCTCGGGAAACAAGTGTTCTTACGACTCAAGTTTCTTCGACCACGCCACGAGAATCACTATCGCGATCGAGGAAACGAGAAAACTTGCACGTCGCCTCGAAGATTGCGAATAAATCCGTTTTAAACCGAAACATCCTTTCTCAATTTTCGGCGAAAAGTAATTCGGCTACGTTTTTCGGCTTCTCGACCGTTTCTTACCGACACGTTGGAGCGCATGTTTGCTCTTTGCCCTCCATCCTCGTTACCCTTTCAAGATTTGTACAGGATTTGTGCAGTTCCATACGATCCGAATCTCGTGTTTACTCACCGTTAGCGTGAGCCGCGAGAAGATCCCTGAGCTGCTGTTGACCGGTGGTTAATTCCACGCAACTGACCCTGACGCTGAATCTGGCTCCCGTCCTCTGTCTCTGCTCGGATATTCCTCGAAACAGCCAGGCGATCGCGCAGGGGATCGCTCCCAGAGTGTGGCCCGCTTCCGGCGTGCCCAGCATCGTGTGAGACTTCCCTGCGAAAAGAAAAACCGACTGTAATACCGTTCGTCCCATCCTGGAATGGATGGCCAACGATTTCGATCGTTTCGATTTTTATCCTGTTCGACGTCGAAAAGGAAATCCTGTGGAAAGATAAAGCGGCTGTGATACTACATCATTTCTGAGACATCTCGAAGATCGTCGATAATTTATCCGATCCGATTTTTATCACAGTTTAAGATAAGATAACACGATATGAAAAATCGAAGAGTTGTTCCTGGATATCGATTTTCGATACGAAAAGGATCGAAATGGCTATTTCATTTTTCTTTTTTTTAAATTCCGCATCGAATTACGTTGTAACGCTTCATCGACGTTGCCGACGCGTGATAACATTTCTGCGCTTCGATTTCGCGATCCACGATTTTTATTTTCGATCGAAGAACGAATCGTGAACTCGCTTTTTCCATTTTCCAACGTTCAACCGGAAGTCAACCTTCCGCCACGATTAAATCGCGGATTCCAACGCGCGATTGATTTCCCTCGCTTTTCGCCACCGCGAAATCGATTCGCACGGTTGCCCTTTGAAAATCCGCCGGGTATATATGTATATACACGGTGTACACGGTAGAAGTAATCGGTGCAGATCGACGCAACAAATCGCGACGCCTGATTTGTGGTTGTCGGCCGGCGACAATTAATTTGTTTACTATTTACCGGTTCACGCCGTGGGGAAAATAACGAGCGAACACGCTCCATCATAATCACGATGCGTGACGAGGATCTAATTTATAGCGGCGGACAGATTGGACCCGATTAATTCGGTTACCATTACAAGTCCGCGATTTTCCAATGAAACGGAAACGGACGGATAATAAACGGGGCTCGAACATTGTCTCGCTGTTTCTGCTCGCGAATTTAAGAAATTGGAAAGAATCTGTCTCATTGCTGACACGAGTCATCGATCAATCTGCATCGCAATGTTTAATTAACGTTAATCGATATTCGATTCTGATCAATTTGAGTTTTTCCCCTAAAAATTGTTCGATCGTGACGTTGCTACTTAATTCGATTCCGTTTTCTCTAATCCCTTTTTCATATTTCGATATAATCCACCAGAATCGTCTACTCATGTACGTCACTTTCATCTATTTCTGAAAGTCTATTTCTATACGAAAAAATCCGCATCTCGAGCATGAACAACGGGTTAGCAATCGCTTAACTCAACCTTAACCGATATTCGATTCTGCCTAAAGTTTCCTTCCGCTTTTTTTTCTCGATATATATATCTACAATATCGTTCCCGAAGAATACACCCCGTTAGAATAGCATTCTTCGCCCGCAAGGGTGAAACTTTGGAATTCAACGGCGGGAAAAGGCGGCGACTTGGCGAGGCAAGAGAGGAGAAGGCGTATTGCCGATAGGGAAACGAAAAGAGTCTTATTAAAATCATAAAACAATAGCGGGGAGCGGCGAGAGAGTTCGGCCGAAAAAAAAAAGAGAAGAAGAAAAAGAAGAAGAAGAAGAAGAAGAAAAGAAGAAAAGGAAGGAGAAGGAGAAGGGGGGAGGGAGAGGAGAAAGTGACGGGGAGGGAGAGGAAGGAAGTGGAGGGAGGAATTGAAAGCGAAAGGCGTAAGAATTCGAGGGGTGGATTCTCACGTTGGCTGGCTGGAACGGCGAAATAATGGGAAAGTACCGGCAGCCGTCGCTGAATCTTAAACGTTATTTAATTGTTTAACGTAAGACGTTGAATTATGTTGTTATTTAATTAGAAACCGGGAAGAAGAAGAAGAGGAAGAGGGCGGACGCGGCCCTCCTCCTCGATCCTTTCGCCCTGGCCATTCGTCACTCTCGAATCAACTTTCCGGTCAGATTCAACCATGTTACCCGGATTAACCCCCTCGATTATCCTCCCTAAAGCAGAGATTACAGCGCCATTTTACAACGAGTAACACAGTAATACGAATCGATCGTAATATTTTCTTTATGTTCGACGAATACAGATCTACGTCAAAAAAAAAAAAAAATAGAAATATCGCGGGAAAATTACGCAAGAATTTACACTTGAGAGAGAAATTTGCAGCGCGAAACTCGCAACTCGAGTTGCACCCATCGATTAGAATTCCTCTCTCGAGAAAGGAATCGATGAATCTTTATTTTCGTTCGGTTATGCGAATTGGTCAAAAAGACCACGTTGCTTCGTCCATCCGTTGTGGGAAGATCGTTCGAACGAATGTCGAGAAACGAATCGAACGTAATTGGGAATTTCAATGAAAGAGAAGGAAGAGAGTTGACAGCGAGAGAGGTTGATCCTTGAGGAGGGAAGGATTTTTCCACGAGCGGAAAGGAGAAAGCGGTTGGCTGAAAGAATTAGTAGCCCGGGCCGAGGTGAATCGGGCCGCAACCGCGGCAAAAACATAGCGCGAATCATCGTTTCCCGGTATAATTATCGCGAGTATTTGCATGTCAAAGGGGCGGGCGTTCGCAGACTCGTGGCGTTCTTCGCCGGCTCTCTTCTCGTTTTGTTGGTTAATCTGCTTTCTCGGTGGTTTCTCGCGGTGAAAGGGTTCGACAGCGTGTACCTTAAGGGCTGTGCCTGATGCGGAGTAATTAGCACCGCGTTACAAAGTACAAAAGGGCGTATTGTCTGGCTGTCATACAGGGAGCGCCTCCTCGTCCTTCCCTTTAGAATTTTCCATACGACAAATCACGTAGCTTTCACGGTGCTCCGCCACCCGTAGTCCTTTCCCTAGTTGTTCCTTCCTCCTTTCTCTTTCTTTTTCTTTTTTTCTCTCGCTTATCTATCCATCCTCTCGCAACGAGAGAAGAGTCGACGAAGACGCGTGCACAACAGCTGGAAGAAGAAGAAATTAGAGGAAGTAGCGTAACTTTAAGACTGTCCACGCGATCCACGCGCATCATCTCACGGACCTCTCTTCTACCTTCCCTCTTCTTTTGTTCCTGCGTTTCACCCTGCCCCCTCTCCGTGTCAAAGCAGCAGGAAGCGGCAAGGTAAAGAGTTAGGGGAGCTACAAAGAAAGGAGGAGGAGCGAAGAGAGGGGAAGAGAAGTGACACACAGACGGAAAGAGAAAGGGAGAGAAGAGGCGCGTTGTCCTAGCGATGATCAAAAGCAGTTTGCTCGCAGACTTGCCTCGAGTATCTTCAACGGAGGCGCGAGGGGATGAAAGTTCGTCCGGCTTCCTTCCACGCCTTTCTTCTCTTCGCCGTTTCTTTATCTTCGCCCTCCTTCTTCCAGACCCTCTTATCTCTCCTCCATCGCTCCTTCCTCTCTCCCGAATACGCATCTTTCGCTTTATTGATTTTCCCTCGCGGCGGATATCGCTCGATCGAATTTCTTATTCCACGATAACGAACTTCGTCGAAAGACAGGGCCGAACCCGAGTCCCTCCCCTTCGAGAGGATGATACTACTACAATTGACGTTTGAAAAGGAAAAAAAGAAAGAAAGAAAAAGGAGAAGAAAATATTCAGGAATATTCGTGAAGGGTCTATTCGTTGCGATGGCCACGTTGCGATGTATATGCACGCGGCGCGGAAAGAACATGGCGGCGAGGTTTAAACGGCCTCTCCGCGCTGCTTCCCATAAATCCGTCAGCGCGCAAGTTATTTCCGCTGAAAGTACAGCGAGACGAGGCGAAGATAATCTCCGGTATGCGTTAAGATTCGAAAGGTGGAGGAAAGTGGAGGTGGAGGAGGAGGGTGGCTAGTGGAGCGAGGATAGCGGCAGCAGGGGTAGAAAAGTAGAAAGAGAGGGAAGCAAGAAAGCTCGTGTCCCAGTAGCATACATTATCTCGTTTCCTTTCGACTCCGCCTTTTCTCCTCCTCCCCCTCCGCTCGTTTTCCCGCCTCGCGGCTCTCGCCTCTTCTTCCACCGACCCGAGAAAACCTTCCTTCCCCTCGGTTTCCTCGCATAATCATGCATTTGCATGCAAACTCGATATCACTACTTAAAATGTAAAACAACTCGCGAGCGCGTCTCGGACGGCGAGACGGTGTGCTCGCTCTTTGGAGGGGAGAGGGATGAAAACGACGACGAGCGGCGAACTGCCTAGCTCGAGAAAATGGACGCAACCCCGGGATACGTGTAAATAAAGAATCTACGTCGCGCCTGTGAATTGCTAATTCCCCGCTCGAGAGACACGAGGAGAAGACTCGTCCGAGTTACTCGGAAGAGAGATATTGAAAATTCAGTAGATCGGATTTGGTATTCTTGCATGGTGCACGCGTAATTAGGAAAAAGGCAAACTTTATTCCGTCAAGTTTTTATCAACCTTTTTCGCGCTTACCGCTATCTGTATTCGCCTATTATCGAACTTTTATTAGTTTTTTTTTTTTTTAATATTATCATGTTAACAATCAAGTTCGTCGATAGCGTGGCGATTTCATCGTTCCAAGAATCAGAGAGAAATTACGATGAAAATACTGGGTGAGAAGAATTTTTGCGAAAGTAAATGAAATTTTTTTCTTTTTCTTGTAACAGGATGGCACACAGGAAGGAGAAAAACGGGGATAGTATTTTATGTAATTGTTTCCATGCTCTGGACGAGGGACGAGACAATAGACGGTTTGTCTAGGAGGACGTCGAACTTTGTCGAACAATGGACGAGGACGGGAAATAAGGCGGCGAGAAGACGTTGTCATCCCTTGGGATAGGACGATGAAAAATGTTTAACCCGTTTTTTTTACCTTTTCAAGACGCTGGGAACGGGGAACGATCTCGTTAGAAATCGTGAACACTCACCTAATCCCGCGTGCCCGAAGCAGAACAGGCAGCCGTCCGTTCCGTTGATGACCGCGTGGATCACGTCCGTCAGTGCGCTCGAGCAGATCTCGGTCTGTAAAGAAAAAAAAAAAAAAAAATAAATAAAGAGAACTTTACTACGAGGGAGAGAGGGGAAGACGTGGGTACGTTGAAAATTTGTGAAAACGAAGCGTGGCGATGATATTGATATCTAATTTGATCGTCCAAAGTTAGCCCTCGGGTTAAGCTGTTTAATACACGACGACAACCGAGGCGCTTTGGACGACGATGGACGCGATTTTAATTGTTCCCTCATCGTGACAGGGGGAGGGGAGAAGACGAGACACCAGCCAGGACTTTCGAGGGTAACGACGAAGCTTAACTTAAAGTACTTAAGAAAGCGTTTGCGGGACGGTTTAATAAACGGGACGAGCGTTGCTGCGTCCTTTGGTGCGGGAGAGAGATTACGAGAGGAGCCGCGCGCTCCGCTTTGTTTGCTTTTAATATATTCATAGACTGGAAAAGTCTTTTCCAGAAATATAGAAGAACACCGCGGCAACGGTCGAATTTCACCCCTTTCCTTTCCTTTGTCTTTCGCCAGACACTTTCTCGCTTAGTTAAAGAGATGCATCCACGACGAATTATAATAGACGAATTTTTGGAGGGAGAGGGAGAGAAGGAAAAAAAGAAAGGAGAAACAGAAGAAGAGAGAAGGGATGGGGAAGAGGGGCGCGAAGGGGTCCCTCGTTCCGCGAATTTCCTGCGGAAGCGAGCGGGAATTTCCTTCGAGCCTGCACTCGATTCGCAGCCTGACCGATCGATATATAGACATCGACCATTCTCCTCCTCTCTCTTCAAACGTTTCGCGGCTGTGTGAGAGGGAGAAAGGGAGCAGGAAAGGGGAGCAGGTTGCTCGGGAATATCGAGAGGAAGATGAGAACGTGTCGATACCTCGACCAAACAAGATTGAAATCTTCGCGGACGAGAATCGGATGAATCTCGAGATGGAAAAGGGGGAGATGAAAGCTTGTGGTGAGTTTCGAGGAGTGAAGAAAAAGACAGAGAGAGAGAGAGAGAGAGAGAAGGAGGCAGGGAGGAGGGGAGAGGATAGAGACAGTTTTCCAGGGACACAACCGCGAGAAGCGAGCGATTTGGAAACCCTTCGGGCTGCGTTTTTTCCCTCCTCCCTGCCTTTCCGCTTTAAAGGAAACGGAAATAAGGAGTCCGGTCTTTTCCCCCCTCTTCCCCCGACACAGTAATTCCAATTTGTCTTTGCCCGTTTCGTCGAATCTTCCAGTTATATATAGATATGGGGATATGGATTTCGAAAGCGAAACCGATCCGCCACCGATGATTGATCCACTCCGCGTCTGAAAAAAGCGATGAAAACGCGCGTCGAGAATACCCTCGACGAGATTAAAGGGGGAGGGGGAGGAGAAAGAGGCGAAGAAGAGATCCGCGGGACAACAAGGACATTCATAATTATAACGGGATCATCCCAGGGGGATGTAACGCAAAGCAAACATATTTCGCGGCTACCTGCACCCTCGAGAGATTCGCCACCACTCTCTCTCTCTCTCTCTTTTCCTCCCCCTTGCGCGCCCCGGAACCGACAGCATCACGGTTAATGAAATACGTGACCGAAGCCTCCGTCATAATCTCAAACACTTGATTCCGCGATCCCGCTCGGAATTGAGAGGAAACGAAAGGGGTTGGCTCGTCGTTTCACCGCGCGGAAAACATCCCCTCGGCGACCGTTCCTCGTCGTTTATAATGCTTCGTCGAATTTTAATTCTTTTTTTTTTTTTTTTTTTTTTTTTTTACCTCTCTTTCTCTTTCGCCGTTGCTTCAAACGATTCGATCTTTCCGTGAGTAAACGCGAGCGAGGCAAATTTATCGCGTCGGTTGAATTTGAAAAATCACGATACGAGGAAGAAAAAAAATTCTATCTCGCGCGTACAATTACTACGTGAAGTAAAGCTTCTTAAAACCTCTAGGTTTCTTCTTCTCTCTTTTTTTTTTTTTTTCAAGGGAGAGTAATTTTCAAACCGTGTGAATCGTTTTTCGCGATTTCAGACACGCCGGAAAAAAAAAAAGAAGAAGAAAAAAAGGAAGAAAATTACCATGGAGATGTCCCGACCGAGGGAAAAGAAAAGAGGAGCTCACCGTCTATCCGACGGGAACGCTTAAGAAAACGAAGTGAAATTTGTTACCGACAAGACTTCTCGACAAGAATTCCCCTCTTCCTTCCTTTCCTTCCTTTGAAAAAGAACGCTTTTGCGAAAAAGAGAGCGCTAGGAACGATCGAGAAAAAGAAAAGAATCGAGCGCCAAGAGACCGAAATCCAACCGTCTCTATTACGAGCGTTAAGGGTATGGGATGGCTTCGACATTAATTTCGGCGAGTGTAAATTAAAAGGCAGAGAGGCAGAGTAGGGTGGGATCTCTGCGGTGTGACTTACAAGAGACGGTGTCATCGTGGCCTGACTCGTAGCCCAAGATTCCACTTGCAGGACGCGTTCCGGTAACGCAATATTGGCGCCACTGCGTGGAATACCAATGATACCGACAAGAAATGGGAGGAGAGAGAGAGAAGGTTGTCGATGCTCGTGGCCCAAGATAAGCTTCTTCTTGGTCTTGGAGGAACTTGCAGAGTTACGCTCCTCCTCTCCTTTCCTATCTCTTCCCTTTCACCCTTCCCGTCCACCACCCCTCCTCTCTTGCCAGCGAAATGTAAAACTCGTGTAAGAAAGTTGGAAAAGAAGGTGGTTGGAAACGGGAGAGGAGTGGCGTTCGCGATTGGATGTTGGGGGAGGCTTTTAATGGGTGGAAATAATCGAATGACCCCTCTCTCTATCTCTCCCTCCCCTTTTCTCCACGAATCTCTTAATTCGCAAGTTTCCAGATGCCTCGACGCCTGTGTGGAGGAGGGAACAGGTGGTGTCGCGACCGCTCTTCCATTTTCTTAAACCTGGGGCGGTTCTCGCGGATTCGTTCGCAAGTTTCTTCTCGAAATAAACGAATTTCCGTTTATTCGGAGGGAGGGAGGGAGAGAGCGGAGATTAAACGTCGGTATCCGGGGTAAAATTCCGCTAATTAGAGAGGAATGAATATGTTTACACGGAGCGTGAACGGGTTCATGATTCATGGGAGATGAACTTTGTCAAATCGGTTATTGGGATAGACGTTGATGAAGTTAATTCGCCTCGTGGAAAATCACGTTGAATTTGAATTATCAGCGTGCGATGTATCTGTCAACAATATGTTATTTAGAATAACATCCCTCGGTCCAATTTGCTATCGGTTAATTGCGCGAACGTTACGAAAATCATGTTTGTCGATTACGATATACCGTAACACGAGCCGAATACGAGAACGGGTAATTTAAATAATGACGGGAAAAAGGAAAACACCTCTCGCGTTTATCGACTTTCATTAACGATGTTAACGAAGGATCGGGTAAAAAAAATATATGGACGAAGGGTCGAAATGTCGCCGACATACATTTTTTTCTTCTTCCTCTAGAATTTAGACAATTTTCAAGCACGAAAAGCTACGAGCGAGAAATTACGAGCGCGGCGTAGGCGAGTCGTATACGCGGCCGGTTGACACTTGGCCGATTTTACGAGGCCGACACACCGAGTCGAGACCATTATCTACATCGTTGCGAGAAAAGTAGGCGGTTTACCATTCGCGTGTAGACGCAGCTGGCGCGTGAACCAGCCACGTTCGATGAAAACCGTATCAAAAACAAACAGAGCCGAGGGAGATGGTGGTTTTCGCTCCCCGTCCAACCGCGTGTCTACGAGCGCCCGTTCACGAGTCGATAATTCCAAAAATTGCATCCCCCGTGACATCCGGTTTTCGTTCACCGCTTATAAATAAATTTCGATATCGATATCGATACCGACTCGACGACATTCGACGAGCGGAATGTTCCCCAAACGATCGAAACCTTATCCATCTTAGCCATCTCATCGATCCCCTCGAACGAGAGATTCTGGCTCGAAAGCTTTCGAACTCGCGTCGACGTTGACGCGAATCTCTCCCCACGAGTTCGACGGGGAGCGGCTAACCCTCCGCCGTAACAGGGATAACAGTTGGGAGGGGGGCGAGGAGAACTTTTTATCCGATTTTTTACTTCAAGTATCGCGGTAAGAGAGCGTTCACGAGGTTGTCAAAGCGGGAAAACGGCCGGAGAAGGGTGGGCGCGAGAAGGGATGGAGAGATGGAGCGGGAGCTCGGTGAAATATGTCGCGATTTACACGGGAGATTGGCGTCATTGGCGCCTGGGGAACGAGAACAAGCCCTCCTCGCTTCCACCTTCCACCAGGAACCACCGGCAACCGGGCCACCCTAGTCACCGCCACATCGCCGGTGACTGGTCGGATCAAAAAAGCATCGGAGGAAGGAGGGGCGGGGGGACGAAGGGAAATCCAACGCTCGGTTTGACCGATGCAAAATCGAAATCGTTAGTAACCCTATCCGCGTTTCGTTCCCGCCTCCCCCCCCTTCCGGCCTCGCTCGACCTGCGTTTCC